CTCACACCGCGACACAGGTTCGTGGATCTGAGTGTCGCGATCGTTACAGCCTTACATAGGCTATATTCTTCTTGCAGATAAATATACTCACGCAGTTTAGGTTAGAAGCCTCCAGTGAGTTCAACGTTTCAGGGGATACCCGGGAAATGCTCAGAGGTGACGAGGGGAGTTGAGAAGAGCAATGTTTATTTCAGCGAATTTAAAGCTATGACAACTTTAATCGTTATTTAAATACCTTTACTCAATTATCTCGACTACGAAACCCTGTGAGATTATTTTTGAATGTCTGTTCTTTGAAATTTTGAAATTTTTTTTTTTTTTTTTTTTTGTTATTTCATGGTTTTTCCACATAATCGGCCCATATCTTAAAATGGAAGGTTGAAACTTCCGACTCATTTCGCCAGAGCGGGTCACATTTGATTTTTATTTTTTAAACAATGTAATGTGTAACCTAAAAATAAACAGATTATTTGATAAATGGTATATTTAAATCTGCATATTGTAGCCTAATATCTGCAGGGCAGCCTAGTCTTAATAAATGTATGCTTCATTTTTCATTAGTAAATTTGATCAATAAATTCAATAATTTAGAATAATAAGACACTATAGGGCTGTTACCCTAGGTAAGGCTGATCAAATTAAATCGGTTACACAATAATGTTACGAGATTGGTTTAACAGGAGTCAATTAAAAATCGCTGTAAAGAACGATACTTTTAAACATAACCCTAAATCACCATAAGGTGTCGCCAGATGACCGTCTTAATGAACGAGTCATGGATTCAAAATGCTGAATCATTCAGTAATGAGAAAACACATTGCTTTGAGATGCGCGATGGGTCGCTGTGATCTTTGTTTAACTATTTTCTCTGCTGAAACAGAAAAAAGTCAATATTGCATCTAAAAAGTCAATATTGCATATAAAATGTAAGTGACTTGACTTGTGTGTGTGACTATGTTTGTTGTAGTGATAAGAGTTGCACCCTTGTTAAAGTTTAAGGCCTTGTGTTTTTGGATATATATCTTTCTTTCTTTTTTTTTTTTCTTTTTTTACAAAATATGCATATAACCCATATATTTTAGATTTATTATTTGCTTTAAATTAAATTAAGATTGTATTTTTGGTAATTGAACCTGAATGAATTTAAAAATGAATGTGCTATATTTCAGATCATATATTTGTTTTTCTTAAAATTTGAACTAACTTTATTCTCAGCTGAATTATAAATATTTTATTTCTGTATGAATTAAAAACACATTTGATTTTTCTTTTTTAATCAATGTAGAATGTGTAACTGAAATATAAACAGATTAGGGCTCTGTTCGAGGACAAGTAACTAAAACCAATGCGACATGATGAATGTTTGTTTCCCAAACCATCTCAGAGTAACAGCTTACTTTTCTTTCTTACTATATTCTTTCTTACTATAAACTGTGCTGTAGAGCTTGCATCAGTCAAAGCAGGGTTACATTTTGCATGTCGTGCACAATAAACCTAAAGGCACCAGGGTGGCGGTGCCACCGGCTTCATATGTATATATACAGTATATATATATATATATATATATATATATATATATATATATAGCTGTGATCCGCGATAGCTGTGGATCTTTGAAACTGTTGCCGTGGCGACGCATCAAACTTTACCCTTCTTTTAGGATGCTTTTAGGATGCTTTTGAGACCCTTAGCATGCTTCAAATTGTATGAAACTCGACAGACACAACACATTTATTAGCCAGTAGACATGTGCAAAGTTTCAGAAACGGGCGTGGTGAGGGCTCAGTAGCGCCACCTTTTGACAAAAGTGGGGTTGTTAGTTTTAACTAGAGTTACAAAAATTGGTATGTATATTGTACTCCTCGAGCCGGACAACTTTCTAATTGACACTCATTAGCTAGGACCCACAGAAAGTCAGATATGTTTGTTTGAATGTAGAGAAAATCTCAGAATTTTGCCAGTCTCTCAGTGTCCCTCTGTGTGAGTGAGAGGAGGGGCGCCTGTCAGGTTAATTTTAACCCTTTATTTGCTGTGTGCGACTTCTCTGGCATTTTCGGGGGCCTTAACATCCTCGAAAACTCTTGAAACTTTGCACACGGGTCAGAACCCATGGCCATCAGGGCCGGGCTAAAGCTGGTAACCGGGCGTGGCAGGGCGGCTCGACAGCGCCCCCTGGACTGGGATTCGAACATTTGTCCATAAATCAAACACACTTGCATGAATTAATATGAAACTCGGTACAATTATAGATCACATCAGGCCAAACAACTTTCGTGCTCTAAGTTTTATGACAGTTCAAATGGAAGTTATTTATGAATTATGAATTATGGGTTGTTTGAATAATTGTCCTAGGAGAAATACATCAAATTACAACGCATGTGTTTACCAATCACAACCAAACTCGGTGTGCATGAAGTCAAGACATTGAGGATGCTCAATTCCGGACGGATTTTTGTTATCTCGAACGGTCTGGCCGTAGCGAGGAAATGAATTTTATGACTAAAAAAGGACACATAAAGTGTGTTATAACTTTGCTCAATTTACCTACAGTTACAAAACTTACCACGTATATTGTTCTCGTCAAGCCGATCAACTTTCCAATTTAAAGTAATTCGCTCCGAGCAACAGAAAGTCAGATATTGTAGTTTGAATGGATTTATTTCCCCTGCGATTCTCTCTCTCTCTCTCTCTCTCTCTCTCTCTCTCTGTGTGTCTGTGTGTGTGTGTGTGTGTGTGTGTGTGTGGGTGGGTGGGTGTGTGTGTGTGTCTGTGTGGGGAGGGGAGGGCTGTTGTCTGTGTTTATGTGTGTGTGTGTGGCTGGCTGCGATTTTTCCTACAAGTCCTTGTCTCTAAGTCCTTGTCTTTTTGCATAACAATTTTGCATAACAATATTTTTAAATGACAAAATAGGCATATAACCCCCATCTTTTAAATGTATAGTTTTCTTTAAATAAAAGTAAGATTGTATTTGTAATTGAAGTTGAATGAATTTAAAATTCATGTGCTATATTTCAATATATTTGTTTTCCTTAAGATTTTAAAACACTAACTTCATTCTTATCTGAATTACAAATATTTGTTTCTGTATAAAATAATACTCTGACTAAAAACACATTTGATGTTTTTTTTTGTATTTTTATTTACATGTATTTGTGTGTGTGTGTGTGTGTGTGTGTGTGTGTGTGTGTGTATAAAGTGCAGGGTTTTATTTAGATAAAGTAGAATTTCTATAACTATGTGTTGAACTAATAAATCACTCTTGTGTGTGTTAAACACAATCTACTTAATACAGACAACTTCATTATAAAGATAAATAACAAATCCAAAAAATATATGATTATAATCTATGACAAAAAAAGCCATTACAAACTATATTAGTGGAAAATACACATTGCTCTTTGTATTGTTGTAAAATATTCATGAAAAACAAGATAACAAAAATCAAAAAGATAAATTATTTTAGATATAGACATGTTTTAAATGTATAGCAGAGATGTTAATTGAGGCAGCAACATACAAACTTTCTAGAACAACATGGACCTAAATAGCTGGTTTTTATGGAGGACAGTGAAGAGGAAGAGGGTGCAAATCAAACAGCTCACTCTCAGACTACACAGCAAACAGCTTAAGTTTTTAGTGCTTTGTTTGAGGTTTTTAGTGCTCTGTCCTATCTATTATCAACATATAATAGATGGAACAGAACAAGAAAGGCAATTAATAATCTGTCATTGCGTCACTGCATTATGATATGAAAGGCTCAGTACAGTGTGGCACAAAACGCTTATGCGCATCCCGAGTGGAGAATGATGCGCTTAAAGCCACATAGAGTTACAGCGCACAGCGCATCGAGTCTGCATTGATGCAAGCTCTACAATACACTTCTTTTTGATAGTCAAAGCGGGGGTTACGTTTTTACACGTCGTACAGAATAACCCTAAAGGCACCAAGGTGGCGGTGCCATAGGCTTTACATTAAATATAAATATAGCTGTGAGCAGCAATAAAGGGCCAAAGCCGGCGGTACCACCATCCCGGTGCCTTTGGGTAACTAAAGGCATCGGGGTTGCGGTGCCACCGGCTTGGGCCCGCAATCGCTGCTCGCAGCTATATTTTTTTTTTTTTTTTGCATTGATTAAAATTACATTGTCAAATTTGTGACATTACCTTTTATGTAATGCTAAAACACTGCTGTTTGCTTACAGAAGTTGTAGTAATGCATTCTTTTCCCAAGAAGAATGTGAAACATATATATATTGGTTTAATCATTTTTAGTTTTTTTTATCTATTTAAATATAATTGAAGTGGATTTTACACATTTAAAGCATTATCGTATTGCATATTGAATATCACATTTTTCTTCAATACCGTGCAGCCCTACTGTTTTTACTATAATTGTTTGATTAAATAAACACAGCCTTGATGAGCATTAAAGATACTTAAAAAAACAACAACTTCTGAACAGTAGTGTTAATTAGCTTCAGTGATTATTTATTTAGTAATTGTTGCCATAAGTACACATGCATATGTCATAGGACTGCGGCATCATGTCCCGCTGTTTTTCAGTATCTTACTCTGGGAGTATCATATTATTTAAGACATGTCATGTTTAAATAATATATATATATATATATATATATATATATATATATATAAGATGTACAGGTCAAACATCCAAACATGCGGATCACAAAGAAGATATTTTGAATAATGCTGGGAACCAAACAGTTTTGGTTACCATAGACTTCCAGCAGCAGGCTGTCCTCCTGTAATCTGACGCTGTCTACTGTAGCACACGCAGTGAAGCTGCTCAGAACATTAAAAGGCTTTATTCCTCGAGGTGGTTATGCTGCAAGGGATCTCTAATAGGAAATGGAGATCACAAACTACCAGTCAGACATCAAAACCAGTCCGCTCCTTCCCGCGCAGATTTAATTAAGCTAACTTAAGAACGGAATGCTGCCTTTCAAACTGTTTCTTTGAGACGTTACGGCTGTTTATCTTGCCGTTTTAATCCCTGCCTCTCCTCCCTGTAAAGGATGTGATTGCCAGGGCGCTGAAGCATATTGGCGCCTACCAGGAGCTGGACAACACAGAACAAGTGCAGGCCCTCATCGATCCAGAGATGTGTATCAACTGTGGCAAATGCTACATGACCTGCAATGACTCGGGCTACCAGGTACAGACGCACAGATCAGATATTTACACATCATGGCATATGCCATTTATGGGTAAGCAATTACAACTGGATTTCATTTGCTGAAACATGGTACGCTAGCAAATGTTTTCAGATTAAATGTTGTCCTTGGAGGTCACTCGATTGGAGAGTTCATTCGCCGCTGTTGGCCCCCTCGTTTGGAAACCATAAAGACTCTGAAATGAATAAAGCCGGTACGCGATGAAGGAGCCCAGCCAGTTCCCTTGAAGAGCGGCACTGTTGTGCTCATTGCTGTCATTGCTGTTGCTTTTTTTTTTTTTACCTCCATGAAAAGCTCTCCCAAGAGTGGGGAAATCCTCCTATGGAGAGTCGATAATTGCTCTAATGTAATAGCTTTTTTTTGTTCCCTCCCCTTCCTCTTCTTTTGCAGGCTATTAAGTTTGACCCTGAGACCCATCTTCCTGTAATCATGGACAGCTGCACCGGCTGCACTCTCTGCCTGAGCGTGTGCCCCATCATCGACTGCATCAAAATGGTTACCAGGACGACGGCGTACGTGCCCAAGAGGGGCCTGCCTGTTAATCCCATTTGCTAAAGCACACTGTCGCTCCACCTGACCGGAGAGAAAGGAAATCAAAGAGCGACATCTCATTCAAAGCATCGATTCCACTTATAATTGCTGTGTGAAAAATTACCTTTATTATGAAAACGAATAATTAGCCAGCAGAAATAATTGCTTTATATTCCCAAGCCAGTTATGCTAGAATAATTGTGCTGGCACAAAAGAGTTGCATTATTTCGAACACAATGCGTTTTTTTTTTTTTTCCCCATAAGATACAACAATCAAAAGTGAAATGGAGGGATTGACTGAGAAAGATGGTTTAGTGATTTTGTTATCTCTGATTTGAATGACAATAAATAAATGAATACTAAAGCAAGAACATTAATAATTGACCGTGTTGAAGTCTCATTTTCACAATGCAAATTTTGAAACTTGGTAAAATGAATTATGTGACTGCTAACTGTGATTAATAATAATCAAACATCTAATAATTATTTATAAAGCAGATTTGCCGTCGTTTAATGTTAGTAATTAAATCACAAGACGTGTTTATGTGTAAATAGATTTCTAAAGATCAGCTAATTATCTCCAAAAACATGCTTTTTAAAGAAATGTGAGCCATAATTCATTTGAATAAAGTTTAAGCAGCTTCGTTTACAGTTTGTCAGATTGTTTAGGCTTCTTGAAGAGCAGCTTTAGGTTTAAACACAGACACTGAACAAATTGTAATTCTAATGATGTTTAGAACGGTTCCTCTTATGTCCCAATTGATTTGTTTTGCAAAACAACGCATTCATTGGCGCTGATACAAACCGTCTGAAAGGTTTATCCTCAGTCTCTGTTGTGTTAATATGATCTTCCTATAATTGTTACATATGCGAACAAGCATTCGATTGGGTGAAGTGGACAAGGCTGTAGACGGAGTTAATTAAAATGTTATCGTTTTCATCTCCGAGATGCAGACCGCTCCTTCTCTGAGTGGTTTGGCGTTTGAAATTCAGGAAAACGCTGCTTTTGAAAAACAGCAGCCAGACATGTCAGAGTTATTTCATCATTTGTTATTGCCGCACAATAACAAGGGATTAGAAAGAAAAGCGGGCCTCCATAAATCTAAAGTTTGCACTGGAGCTCCATTAATTTGGCTAAGACTTAACTTGCTTTGTAAAACTGTTTGCCTTTGAAAAATTAGCAACCATGCCAAGTGCGATGAGAAGGTTCAGCAAATTTACTGAAGTCCCTTAAGCGCACTCATTATTAGCTGCCAGAAGAGCATTTGAAAGGAGAAAAAAAAGAGCTTTATATCATTTCCACTGCTCTTGCATTTCATCGCCTGATATTAAATTGTTGTTAAATGTTGTTTATATGAAGACAAAATCCTTTAAAAATGCACTGAACCAGATCGATAACAAGTCAAAGTGATATTTTTTTCAATAAGTTGTGTGATGGAGAAGCGGCAGTTCCTCCCCTGCCTGTCATTCATACATCATTGTGCATCAAGCTACTTCCTCCCTCTGATTGCAATTAAGAAATGATGTGTCTGGACCATGGCCAGGCGTGCCAGGTTAAATTATTCATAAATGTTAATAAGACAAGCGAGAGCACTCCCTCTTTTCCTCCTCTGGCTCCCCTTCCTGAGTGCCATATTTGAAAAATAATATTGACCTTTCCGTCGTAACGCCCACATGTGACACAGGGAAGCTGCTGCTCTATCATAATGTCCATGTCTTTTCGAAAGGGACATGGAGACGGGCTTGTCCTCTCTGACATATACAGAACTGTATTGGATGTACTCAATGCTCAGTTAGTTTGTGAAAAAGCAAAGAAACACGTTCTGCAATACATGTTTATTAAAAAACAATGTGATCATAATGTTATAATTTAACATAAACGCAGGGCTACTAAAAGCACATAAGAGTATAATTCACCCAAAAAGAATTATTTTCTCAACCTCATTTGAATAATGCTGGGAACCAAACAGTTTTGGTTACCATAGACTTCCATTGAATGAAAAGAATTTCTTAAAACATATTATTTTGTTCCACGGAAAAAAAGAGAATCATACAAGTTTAAAATGACATGAAGGTGACTTTTACAGTATTTATAATAAAGAATTTTCAGTCACCCATACAATGAATATTCTGTCATCCTCGTCTCGTTCCAAACCCATAAGTCTTTCGTTCATCTTCGAAACACAAATTAAGATATTTTTAATGAAATCTTAGCATTTTCTGTCCCTCCATTGACCCTCTACGCAACTACCACTCTTCAAAAAGTTCATAATGAGATCGTAAAACTATTCCATATGAATTGAGACATGATCCTTTTGTATGATGAACAGATCAAATTTAGGCTTTTAATCACATATAATAATAATATATATTTCTATATAGCTTTATATTTATAGCCATAGTGCTATAATTATTTTTGGGTGAACTATCCCTTTATGTCAGAAAATGATATTTTCCACGCAAAAGAACACTTCTCTGTCACTCTTTAAATTTTTAATAAAGTTTTTTTTAACATAAAATGTTTTGTTTTATGTTAAAAAACTGTATTAAATCTACTTGTACTTCTCACAATCTGATTATTCCTGAATTAGTGAAAATGACAGAACTCTTAATGAAAATATTTTCTCCTCTAATAATACTAACAAGGAATATCCATTTTCTTCTTAATAATTTTTACAAATTTTTCCTACAAAGTAATTTTTTCATAAAAATACTTTTTTTTGGTCCTCCTTTGCAGTCAGCCCCTTGTTAACCAGTAGTGGGTCCCATGCTATGAACGTTACATATGAAAGCTAATACTGCTCTAAAATGCCTGCACTAAGAGTTCACCTCAGTAACCCCACAACATCCTATTATCAGACCCAATGGACCAAGATCCCCGGAACATCTTCTTCCTAAATGGTATTTACGTGATGTTGTTCTGAGGCAATCCTCCAGCGTTTCTCTGATATTCAAGTACTACTAACTTTTCGCTTTTCACTTTGACTGTAATAGGATGAACATGTTTTCCTCTAATTCCCATGACGGCCCTATTGTCTACAAGTTTGACCTGTCCCTTGACAAATCTAATTTGACTGTACCTGCAAAGTTGTAGATGTGGATGTGACAATAATCATTAAAGCTATTAGCATGGAGCGAATCACAGCCACTGAGTGTTGTGACCTCTGACCTGGGCTAATTGGCATTGGCAGGAGGCTGGCAAGAGAGCCTTTCATTTTTCTCCACTATGAAAGACTGAAAAGGTTAGAGAGACAACGGTACTGAGCCACGGCCACTGATGATTGTGTTATTCACTGCAGGCCCGGAATGCACAGAGTGCACAGAGTTTTTTTTATTTTTATTATTTATTTATCACAAGTTTATCAGTTTATTATTTTATTTTTATATTTGAGGTTTTCATTTTACATTTTCATTAAAGTTTAAAATTATTTTTAAACAATTATAATAACATTTGTATTTTAGAAATAGTTTATATAGCTTTAATTAGTTTAAAAAAATATATTTTAGTACTGGAAAAATGTAAATGTTGCCTTGACAATTAACTGAAATAAGTTTAAGTCCATCCATCCTCTTCCACTTATCCGGGGCCAGATCAGAGAACAGTCTAATGGGCCTTTCACTCAGGACGTGGAATGCGCAAAACTGCACTTCAGTTTTAATGTGATTTGCGCTGCGCTATGCCAGAGACAGTTTTCAAAAACTTTAAGTGGGACATCTATACGTCAGTATAATAATGTTAGTTATTTTTCCCTATACGACCTCAAACTTATATCGTACAGCTCAGAAAATTCCGAAACACTACTTGCCGTTCATCCTTTTTGATTTCCGTGCTTGTTTGGAGGATGTCCCTTTTCTATTGGCCGCGCTAGTAATCGTCACAGAGTGCAGCGGCAAAAGTGGAACTATTTTGCACGAGGACATCAACGGTGCGCTCTGCTGTGCTTGCGCTTTGGTTGATGCAGCAACAAAACATCTTCGCCCGGAACAAGCCATTTAAATGAATGGGTTTCATAGCGCAGCGCATTCCGCATCATGTGTGAAAGGCCCATAAGGCGCCATTCACATATAGCGCCTAAGTTCTCCTTTTTCCAAAGCGCTTGGGCGGTTGCGCTCTGGAGGCGTCTATAGTTGCTGTTGCTGGTTCTTGTCACATGACCTCGTTGCGCTTGCGGCATTCTGAAAAGTTGAGATGTTTTATCTTGATGCGGCGCGGATGCGCTTGTAAAAACGAGTGCGTCACACCGTAGCCGCGTCGCTTCCATTATGAGCACGCATACCGCGCACCTACATTTAAAATAACGAACTTGAGCGTGCAAAAGGCACGATATGTGAACAGGCCCTAAGCAGAGACGCCCAGACTTCCCTCTCCCTAGATACTTCCTCCAGGTCTTCCGGGGGAATACCGGGGCGTCCCAAGGCCAGCCTGGGAATTCCTTCAGCCTGTCCTATAGGTTTTCCCGGGGGCCCCTCCCGGTGGGACGTGCCCGGAAAGGCATCCTGAACAGCTGACCCCTCTCGATGTAGAGAAGCAGCGGCTCTACTCTAAACTTCTCCCCAGTGACCGAGCTCCTCACCCTATCTCTAAGCTCATTTCGACCACCTGTATCCGTATGTCCTTTTTTGTCATGACCCAAAGCTCATCACCATAGATGAGAGTAGGAACGTAGATTGACCGGTAATTCGAGAGTTCACCTTGCAGCTCAGCTCCTTCTTCACCACGACAGATGGTAAGTGTAAACGTTGTGTAAGTTTAAGTCTTAAATAAGTTTAAATAAATATATATATATATTTATTTTTCTTCCATAAAACAACAGCACCGAGCAATTCCCGGCAATGATTAAATGCTTGAATTAATTTCCCTTAATTATTGTCATTGTGTTTTTAATAAGAATTTTAATAGTTTATTTTTTTATAGCTGCAATATGTAACTTAATAAAACAAGTTTATTTGAAATGAGTTTATCACATGCTCGTTTTGAATTGTTTGTGTAGATTTAAATACCTATCAATTCTCACAGCGGGGAAGGTATATTTAAAAACGAGAAAGCGGTGCACGGCAGGATGGGACACGACACGCACACAGCTACACGAACACAAACAATCCTAGGATGCAACAATGGCTCTTGTCAGTGTTTTCAATACTGTGGCTCCCTCCCAGTCATAAAGATATAAAGTCTTGTTTGCTGCTTTAATTCAATTGGACTGGTGGAGGTAGGATGTCTGTGGAACAGTGGCCAATGCTAATCTCATTTGGTCAGCCATTACGCCGTAGCTCAGTCCTGGCCTGCTCTCTCCACGAATGCACCTTCCTGCCAAGCCGTGGCACACCCCCATGAAAAACACTGCGAGCCTGGCTCCATACCTTCAGAGCTCTCGTTTTC